TTAATCATCACAATCACAGGGTTTATTGCAGAGGTTTGCACAGACCTTGATCCCTCATCAATGCTCCTTGTCAAGCTGTACCACCTTGAAAATGAAAGCTGAATCAAGTTGTGATGTTTTCTCCACCAACATAGCCTAAGAACAATACTAGTCATATAAAGCAAGTAAAATTTTTAGACAAGCCAGGCTGGTGACTTGGACTATTTCAAGCATGTACTTAGCTCAAGTAATGGCATTAAGTACTCCCAGTTCAGCTTCACCTTCATGTTAAACACAACTCTGAATACAGTTGCTTTTAAGATTTCAGGTTGCAGCTTATTTTAGCAAAAGCAGCTGTAGTTGGCCTAGATTTCTCACCTCTTCCCTGCTGTACTTCCAGTAATTGTATGATTTGTACCAAAATATGCGAAGTGCAAATTACATCTCAACCCCACCACATACCAGCTTAGCCAGTCTTATTAAACAGTTTTTTAGTGAATTAAGGTTTATCTGAAACTGACACTGCAGCAAGTGCAAAACTTCCATCAGCTCTGCTACAGAAGGCACAGGGGTGGAAACCCTGTTGAGTCTATCAGAGGAACTCCCATAAGCAGCACTCCCTGCTTACCCCTTGCCAATGCCACTGTTGAGACTGCGCTGGGAGAACGCCAAGGGGAGATGGGAAACGTGAAGTACCATACATACAACACACTGTGATGGTGCATTTAACAAAAACACCCTGACTTCATGCACTTTGCATCTGGCCCTTGGCTCCCATTAATTAACTATGACCCAGGTAGGGAGAGGTCAGCTTTCCCCTCTTTCCTCCCTTAAAGCATCACCAACAAAGCATTTCCCCTTCACACGGTTACTCTGACCATTTTGTGCAATTTTTATCTAGCAAGCATAAGAAGGATTACCAAAACAACCGGATTAATAAAATAATATTCCCAGTGTTGTATTACAACAGAAATGTGCTACAGTTCTTCCTAGCTCAAAATACAATACTTAACATTAAGGAAATATTTGCATAAAGCCCATTCTAATCATATTGCCTTTTTCCAGTTAAGACAGGATACCAGGAAACCTTAAGGTGAAACATACCTTTTTTTTGCACAACAGGTTGTTAACAGTTTCTCCCTAACATAATGCGCACACAACAGCGTAATGTCCTTTTAAAAAAATATTTAATGCTGCCAAAAAGTATAAAAATACAGTAAGAATGGCAGTACAAACCAAAATATTTCCTAATTTATTTCTTTTACATCATTTCTACATTAATACAGGCATTGTAAAAACACAAGATGGCAAATTATTTTGTTTTGCAAAGTAGCAGGCTGCTGGTGGTCTTCATCCCCTCGCTGCCGTTTACGCTGTAAACAGATAACTGAGGTCTTCTTGGTACTTAACAGACCTCACTTTTTGTTCCCGAAGAGGGGTCATGTCTCGCTTTGCATGTCAATAATTTGCAGTTTATAGCTGCAGAATATTCACAAGTCTTGAAGGCTTAGGTGTCAGTCAGTCTCGGCCTGCGACACAACGCAAAAGAAAGTCACCGATTCAGTACACAGTTTGGGGGTAAAAAAAAAAAGAGAAAAGAAATAAGCACAGAGAGTGGGTTTGCAACTCGCTACAAACACCAAACAGCTTCTCGCACATCTCCTGGAGCAACTACTGACTATGGTCTGCTGTAGCAAGTGCCCTCGCCAGGACAGTTTCCAGCATAAGGCACTTACTGGCTGGAGAGCTTGAAGTACAGGTCTCAGCCCAGCAAACCCCTTCCTCATGTTCAACCACAAGCACCAAAGCAGTCCCCTCAGGCCTTAGTGAGACCAGGCAAGCTGCGCCTCAACACCACCGATGTTGCCTTTCATGGCTCTGCGGGCCAGTCCCAGCACAGCAGCACGGAAAACAGTGTTTCTAGGCAAAGGGTTCTCACAGTGAGGCAGGCATTCTAACACTGGGTGGGCTGTGCTACAGGAAGGTAAAGCCCTATTCTGAGGAACACAGAAAAAGACCTTGGTGCTTACAGCACCAGACATCCAAGCTGCTACAGGTAAAACACTTCTAAGTTCTGCAAGCACTGCACTGACTCATAAAGCAGTTCTCCTTGATCAGTTCAGACTCAGTAAAAAAATTCTTCCAAGTATTTATCCCTTCAATTTAAATAAAGACTCAGACAGAGATGCGATTTTGAACACATTTATTTTTCGTACATAAAAATGAAAGACTGACCTAAAACGTTTTTGGAAAACAGAAAAGCCGAGAAAGACTACTGTGCGTTATGTCAACTCTGCAAATTCCACCCTCTGACTTTAGCCACTTGGCCAGGCAGAAGACTTTTTCTTTTCTCATTGTTAACCTAGTTGCTTGTACAGTCCTCAAGTGTCTCAGGTTTAACTATAATGCCAAAGAGCAAACTAAATAATTTGGTTAACATTCAGTTAAACTTCAAGCTAGACAGGCTTTTTCACCACCCACAGAATCCAATCACACACACGCACACGCACACAAGCATTTATGCCTTTTCCCTTTTCAGAGGGGTAGAAACTGCCATCAATAAACCATTTCACTGAAGGTTTAACAGAAGCAGCAAAGTTTTGCTTGCAACACCTTAGTTCTGTAAAATAAATCTGTATTGATGTTAGATTTCTATTTCATGCCAAGTTCAATTCTTTTACTTCACACACTTCAAGAATAAACACAGCTGTACCGTCACTCTGAGTGGACTGTCCCTGCACCAAGAACAAACAGAAAACCTAAAGGACTCCTTCCAAACTTGCACCCCCCTTGCAACAGAGGCCTAAATGTTTGCTAGTTTTTTGGTTTGTTTTTTTTTTAATTAAAACGTGCATTATTTGTACCAAGTCTAACAGAGTTCACAGCAGCCCACTAGGCAGCAACTATTTTGACCGATTTATTTCCAGAACAGAGGGGAAAACGGAAAACCCAACGTAAGAACACTGAATTGAGTGCAACAGCTTCTTGAAAGTAGCACAGGACCAGCCAGCAGCTTGCCAGAAACAGGGGCTGGGGAAGGCAGGAGAGGGGTCAGAAAGCATGTCCTTTTACTCTTCCTTTAAGCAAACTCTGCAACCAGAAGTCACTGGGATCAAGAGTTCTCCATTTTGGCCTGTATCAGTTCCTATTTAGGGTCCAAGTTATGCAAAACTACTAAATTCTATAGAACAGCGTTCTAAATTCTAGGTAATTCTAAATTCTATACAGTAACAAAGTAGCACAAGGATTCAGTCTGCAGGAAAGAGAACAAGCCTCCCTCAGATTCTGTTTTTTAAGGATTACTGACAGATCAGAAAAAAAAATCATTTTACCCAGGTTATCTCCTGGAATGCACTAAGAGATCTAAATGATTTCCTATGCTCATACTATCATGAACAATTCACTGTACAAAATACTTTTGTCCAACACTTGGATTGGTTCACGGTCCTAAAGCAGTAACAGTGCAGACTCTCAGGATACCTACAGTCACAGAACCAGAGCGAACGCTGAACGTGCAAGTCCTGCTCTATCAGGAACAGAGAGCGTGAGGTGAGACAAGATGGCCGCTCCCGCCCTGCGCCACCCAGAGAGGAGGAGCCCCTGCTCAGGAGCCCAAAACCACAAAAGCCAGAATTCAGGAGATGGAATCAGCCACAGTTAGAGTTTGGGGTCTGTAAGATACTGGTGGCTCAGGAAATCCTTCTCATGCAAATAAAGGCCATAAATGACAGTGTGATTTCAGTCAAGGTTTTGCCTGTGCTTTTTCCTTAGCTAGTCGGAAGCTTTTACAATAACAGCTGGGTATTTCTGTTACAGAAGCATTTAATAACATTCCACATGGTTTTCTATAACCAAGATATCTTTTATAAGGCACGCACATTTACACCTACTGTCAGTTACAGCTGATAGTGAAAAGCCTGTCTTCTCAATTTAAATAAATTAAATAAACTTTTGCCAAGCCTCTTGCTGGCTAAAGAGTTACTGTGGTTGCAGAAGGTAGGAAGTGTCTTAAAATTTTCAGATTTGCAGGCAGCAAGCTGGTTTGCCTTTGGAGCTGCATCGTCAGTAATGGCACAGGACAAACCGCCTTGTCCTACTGATGCAGTTTCCCAAACTCAGAACTCTGTGAAACTGCACTTGTTTTTCTCAGCTGGACCCTTAAGCAGTTGTTTACTGTAACAGTGCAGTCCAAAACCCGTATCAGCTATTGTGCAATGAGAATTTTAAAGAGTAAACTCAGCTTCACGCAGTGAATGTCAGACTATTTGGGCCCCGTGCCTGCTATGTTACTACTGAGCTTGAACGTACTGGAAAGCTTTCAAGTTAATTCCTTTGGATAAGGGGCAGAAGTAATCATCTAGCTCTTGAGTATTTTTCAGCAGCAAATCCAAGAAGTGCTTTACAAAAGGAGAAATTAAAAGGAAAAAAGAAACAGGGGAGGGAACCCCCAAGCCCGCATACATAACAGAAGATAACCAAGCAAGGAAAATGGAGGGAGAAGATGCAACGTCTCTGCAGTCACCCAAAGAGGCAATGCTTGAATACATAAACCCCAGGCTTCCAACTGCAGTCCACTGCTAGAAACTATCACATCCCAACCTGAACGACAGCCACATCCCACCTCTATTCAAAGAGAATTTAAAGGATAGAAAGTGATTTGTGTTGAATTAGTATTCAGAAAATGCTATTGATCAACTAATAGAAAGGGAGTGCTCAGTAATTTTAAAAGGACTGTACCACAGCTGTCCCAAAACATTAGTCATTGAGTGTTTCAACATCATGTCCCTACTGCAGTGCTGGGTAACCTCAAAAGCAGTTCTAGACTCCATGAAGTTACAGAAGGGGCTTGTATAGCTGAATGCGCTGTACTGGGGACAGGAGAACACTACCAACACTGGTTTGCTGTGAAAACCACCTTTGCAGTCCAACTACAGTTTCCTTTGATGTGCTTTCTACACTTAATACTGATGAATGCATTTTAGTCTTTCTAGCAATTAAAATCTATAGACACACAAAACATTACGTTTCACATTTAATGGAATGTCAGAACTTTAACAACGTTGGCCTTCAAACAGCAGTTGAAGTCTGAATACATTAATCAACTTAACAGTACGCTCTTCAGTTGGGGCTAAGTTCTCAAAAACCTTAAAAAAAGAAAATCAGATTTCTAAGTCTCACTTAAATAATGAAAACTACAAAAAAATAAATAAGGAATGCAGATTAACAGAGTAGAAATTGGCAAGTGCTTTATCAGACCCCTAGCTGCTCAGATCATAAACTGGAGAGTCAAAATATGGGGAATGGTTGCACTAGTATTTTCATGCACAAATTATAATTACATTTAGTTTCAAAATCAAATTCTTTTTGTTCAGAAATTTGTACAAACTGAGCTTTCAAAAGTACAGTGAACTACAAAAAGATTAAATATGCAATTATAAAATATATTTATCCTAGTTCATAAGAATATAAAATGTTTATGTTCATGTCACTAGTACATTACACATTACACACATTTAGGACAACTTCTTTGCATTAATAATGTAAATGATACAACACTGTTTATTGCTTATGTCAGGTGTGTAAATTTAAATCCAGCCAGCCTTCAGTGGCTACACCCCTGTGGTTGACGGGTTGCTTAAGATCTGATAGAACACCATTTTTAAAAGTATAAACAGTTGCAGTAAGTTTGTACCTGCTCATATAAACAAAAAACATCAACTGTGTTGGGGGCAGCAGTTTGTTTCTCTAAGTACCTGCAGTGGGAGGTCCTGAGATGTTGACACATTACCAAGTTTACATCACTCCTCTATTGTGTCTGCACCCATGCCAGGTGTAAGGAGCTCACTGCTTAAAGTCATACCACTAGTCAGCAATCTGCAGCAGAATTAGCTGCTGGAGCAGACAGGCTTACTCTTTACTTACAAGGAATGTTCTTGAAAATACATTTTCCAGCACCAATAAGCACCAACTAAAATCAGTGTACCAAACCCAATCTTAGTGAGAATAGGTTGCCAATATAACCACCTTTTTCTTTTTCTTTCAGTCTCATTTAGCTTCTGCTTCATCTGCTGCACCTTCTGTGCTGTGTTAGCTTTTCTATCGTCCCGCAGTCGTTTTCGGACAGTACTGAGAGAAGAAGAAAAAGAAAAAGGTAAATCTTAAATTGTAGAAGAGTTAAAAAGGCTATGAAAACATTAAACCTCATCGCAACACGTAATCTTTCCCCCAACAGTTTATTAACTGTTAACAGAGATTAACTCCAAACAGTTAATCAATCCTTCATCAGCGCACGGCAGCAGCATGTAAAATCCAAATCAAGCAATCTTGATTCTATTTTAATAACCTTGATGTGGATGGTTTCATGTCAGTGAAGCCCCATGGAATAGATGACATATGTGAAGATGTAAGGGCTGCTTGACCTACATGTTCAACAGAAAACAGAATTAATTTAATTACCTGAGCTTAGTCTCTCAGCCCCATCAGTGTCCCCATTCAGTAGCTGAGATCTTTTGCATGGAGGCTGCTTTCATATGCAGTCAGTGCTATGTGCAAACATTCGTAGTATTTAAGTGTGTGTCCCCATGTACACTTTACACCAGCCTCACTGAAGTATGGATTCTAACCTACTCATGTCTGCATGCAGATTTAATAGTACCCATCTTGGGCTGTAAACCAAATCTTGATCAAGGACACAAGCTACAAATCAGCCATGTGTTGCTACACTACTAGGGCTGCCTTGTAATTTGTGTCTCCAAAAGTATCCTCACTACCTCTAAGAAAGCGTAACTCTTGACATGAAAATCCACTTTGATTGTCCAGGTTCCACCTAGCACACCACCGCACTCACATCCATGCCACCCCTCCTGCTTGTGAGGGGCTCCTGTAAACATACACAGAACTGCTGTCAGTCTGGTTTCTGGGTCTCTGGTTACAGATCCACGTTTAGCTACTAGATCAGAGTGACACAGCATCTCAAGGCACAGCCATTAAGATGGTAATTCCCTGTACAGCAGATCACAGCTGAGGCATTAGCACTCAGGGAGATAAATTCACATGACACAGCTAAACCACAGAGATGTACTCATAGTGGTAGATTTAATATGAGTGGAAGGTAACATTTGGCTTCAACAATACAATTTCAGCCACCATACAGAAAGTGGTAAGTGATAAAACTTTTGTTTCTGATGTATTAGCATTGTATTTAAAAATCAATGTCAGATTATTTTGGGCACTTTCAGGACCCAATTCACAAGAGAGTTCACTGACAGTCTGTAGGAAAATACTTTCAAGCATGAGGTCGAGCTGCTCTGATTAGAGACATCTGGGTTTTTTTCTCTTGACCTTTAAACAAAAAAAACTTTATCACAAGGAGTAACTGAAGTTGTATTTTTAATATAATTAAGTAAGATTGTCAAATACCTCCTGACCTTTTCCTCTACTGAAGAAAGATCTTGCGGTTTTCTTATGATATGAGAAACATACAATAATCCAGCCTTTTAAGAGAGTATCTGCTGCCTTCTAAACAGTTTCTTCATCTTGCCTACCTTTCAGTGTTTCCATCTGTGATATCCTGAACTTTATTGGACAGGTCAGAATTTGTTTTCTCCATTTGGTTTTTGTTCTCCAGGCCTATGCTGTTCCCATTGTACTTCTCTGTGGTTATTCTGGTTGGGTGTGGAGGAGACTGCTCAGAACTTGGCTCTTGGTCCTCCTTAGAGAGCTCCTTCCACCGTTTCTGCAGACAAGGAGAACATATTTCAAACATCCCCCTAACACCAAAGGCTCTCTTTGCCCAAGATGCCCTACAACAGAACAGTCAGAGAAGTAGATTAAAGGAACTACTAGGTCAAGGAAAAACCAAAAAGACTAAATTGCTAGCGGAAGATGCATCTTCTCCAACAAAGATCCCTTCCTGTATTTCTCTAGGTACTTAGTGAGGGAAAGAGACTCCTCAGCCCCTCCCTGGTATGAGTGTTGCAGCTGCAGCCACTCATTAGCTGTAAGCAAGTAAAGGCTCAAGTATACATTGTGTTTGTCTACACATTTACTGACTTCCAAAATCCATGGAGATGTCAGAGGTGAACACTGGGGTAATGGACTATTAGAGAAACGTTCAATGAGTTCATGCCCTCCCCATCACTAGCAGAGAGAAGTAAGCACCTCTCACTCTCTGAACAGTACAACTGTGCCTCCATATGGGGGAGGGGGGGAGGGGGCGAGTGATCTAGCTGACCTTGAAAGAAGAAATACTCCTATTAAGTACTGCACATGAGTACTGCAATTTTGTGCACCTGACCCTAAGGCCTAAAGAGAAGAGCACCAAGGCAACCACCTGCACTGCAGAAAACACTGGTTTAAGAAAGATCACCTGAACATCATAGCAAGAAAAAGAAAACAACAAATGAGAAGTGTGCCTCCTTAGGCATTTTCCTGATATGAAGAAGTAACACACTTGAACCTGACAAGCAGTATTCTGAGTTGACAATGCCTCCTTGTATCCAGAAACAAGAAATCATGTGACCTAAATGGGGAAGTGCGGGAACCAGAGCTGCTTAGTTTGGAGCACGGCTTTTTAAAAAACAAAGCAGAAAAACATTGTTAGAGAAAATACCCTCCTACCACCAGAAACAGCTTCCAGAAAATAAAGAGACTAAACTGCTGGTAGTGTTAGGATGAATCATGCAGTCTTTAGGCATACGGCATGGGTGTCAGACTAGCAGCACACTACCTAGGTGTTCATTAGCAGTTGTGTGAAATTATTTCTTTGTGTAGCAAGTCAATAAACATTTGTCAAAAAGACTCTTGACAACAGCCAGAACCACAGAAAAGAGGAAATGGGATTTCTTAAAATCATGAATGAAGCAGATAAACCAACAAAATAAAGAAGCCCTAACACATAAAAGCAGAATTGAGTGTTTCACAACCTCTCCTCCTAGTCCTCCCACCCAGCCCCAGCCATTCAAAAACAGCTGTAGCTACTATTAAATCTACAAGCCACACTGATAAAATAGTGGGATCTAGTAATCCGGTTGCTCCAAACTCATGATACTGAGCTGGATTCTACTTACTGTAACACAAATCTTAAAGGATATGAAAAAAAAAAAAAAAAAAGAAAAAGCAAAAAGCAACTGTACTAACAAATGTTCTCTGTAACACCAAGCAACTTTACTGGTATGAAAATATATTGCAAAGATTAAGAAATCCTAAAAATATCCTTGCTATCTTTTCAAAGTGATACTGAGCATTACTTCTGCTTTTCAGTGTTGAAGACACCAATGTAATCTTTTTTACAAGACATTTCTACAGAAGCTGTATTTTATCTAAGAGGGGACAACTACACAGGATCAAAAGTTTAGCTAGTAAAAGGCACTGATCAAAGATCCTCTACCACCTTCTAGCCATCTACTGAAAAAGGCAAATTATCTAAATCCCATGAAGTTACATTTTTAAATACTGTTAGCAATTTAACTAGTTAGCACTTAATCTGTTTATGCATAAATATACAGAGATAAACATTTACCTGTATAGTTGAATCCCCCTTTATAAGTTTTCCTCCTTCTATTACAGCCATATATGAAAATCTTAGTTGATCAGGAGTCTGAATAAGTCCCATTCGATATTTCCTCATATCCAATAAAACCTTCTTAATATCTACAGAAGGTGAGTCTTTTTTTTCCATCTGTAAAGAAAGTTATATTGACAATGGCATTACCGTTGAACAGGGACAGCATAAGAAATTAACACTTGCAAAAAGTAATAATAAAATTAAATCTAAAAATTAAAGTCTTGTATTATGTTTCTGTAAGTTACATACAAAATTAACATCTCAAATGGTTTCTTGGTTTTATCATGTCAAATGATGAATTGTTTTTATAGGCAAACCATCTAATGAAAGCTTATTATGAACAAATCAATGACCGTGTATTAATCAAATAAATCAGTACCATAGTATCAAGTTTTAAATTTCAGAAAGTTGATAGGCCATAACCAAACCAGAAGACAAATATCTCATAATTTAAATAAATTTCACCTAACCCTGTGCTATACTTCTCACTAGCACCAAGCAAAGCCTCCTGACCAAAAAGCCCATACTGGGGAGGGATGCAGGGGAGAAGGAAAGGGCAACAAGAGAAAGTGACCAAATACTTACCAGAACAAGGAAAGTGTCTACTAACGAAAATGTGCCAGAACGTCCTATCCCTGCACTGCAGTGAATTACTGCAGGTCCATGTTCTGGACTTAGTGAGCCAGATTCTCTGACTTTAAACAGGAAGTTCAGGAATGAAGCTGGGGATTCAGGAACTCCAAAGTCTGGCCATGTAGTATAATGAAAATGAAAGATCATCCTGGACTCACCACTCTAGAAGTGAAAACAAATAAACAATACAACTAGAAAGTATTCTAATGTTGCTTGGTTAGCACACATTTCCCCAGTGTAGATCAACAGCTGTCTTCTATTTTAAACCTCCCATTTAGACAAACAATCCAATGCCTTGCTTCAGGTTGGATGACAACCAACAGCACAACCTGAAGCAGGTTTTCATCCGTCTCCTTTGCAATTATTACCATACACATTTTTTGGTTCTTCTCAAATTTCCAATATTGTATTTTATTTGCTTTATTACTTGCTCCCAAATATTCTTCTGTTTCTACCATTAATGCAACTTAACAGCTGGCAGCAGTTAGGAGACTGCTAGCATTAACATGACTGAAAAAAATACATGTCAGCATTGTAAACACTCTCCACTCTCACTCAGAGCAAGGTTTAATATCTAGAGGAATTAGCATCTCCCTTACACTAATCACACTACTGAGAGAAACAGGAAGCTTCCTGGAAAAAGCCTGTAAGAACCTATAGAGCAGATGTCTAGCAAGACTTGTGCTGGACATACTCGCACTTTGTAAGTAGGAAAGAAGGCTTCCAAAAACCACACAGTAGGTTTAGAACCATGCAACTCCTGTCCCAACACAACCAACTAATTGCAAGCATTGAAATGACAGCAAGAGAGTAAGTATATAGCTGAAAGGCTTTGATGACAAATTTGGATCATATTTTTATGGAACTCGCTTTTGACCTGCTGTTAATACTGCTCCTTGCCACAGTGATTTTCTAGACAACTTGATCACTGATTTAGTTCAGAAATTTAGAAAGGTTCAGTTATTTTTATCTTCCTTCCATTTCACCTTAATTTTCATGTAAGATAGAAATCTACATAAATCTCCACAAAGTTGGAACACAAGAAGATTTGAAACACCAATGTATTCCAGAAAAGCTATGTTTCTTTTTTCAGCAACAGTAAAATACAGCTATGAAATTCAAATAAATTCTGCTGGTTTTCATCTGCTCCAGCTGCTTCAACTTATGAAACTCCTTTGTGAAACTAAAATAATCCAGTTCATGGTTACCACAGTAACAAAAATACTCCTCCATTTTGTCTTTTGCCTTTAACGCCCGATCCTGCAGGACTGCCAATATTTTCAAAGAAAGCAGTGGGTATTTACATGACTGAAGTCACTCTCAAATGCACAGTTTTCTTCCCGAAATATTTTGTCTTTTGGCTAAGAGCTCAACAAGGACAACAGAATCTGATTTATCATATTTGGAAACGAGTAAGATTTGAAAGAGGAAAAAGATCTACCAAGGCCTAAATTGTATAAATACACTGGGATTGCCTTTTCTTGTTTGTAGCAAAGCATTAAAAACAGTTCACGTTTTCAACTGACATCTTCCTAGTGGTATTCTGTACTATTTTTTTCAACTAGTGAATTAACTCACTAATCAACTGAAATCACCCATTTGTTTAAAAATCACTAAGGAGATACATTTTTTTATAAGGAATCTGCATCGATACACAAGTGGAACTTAAGTGATGAGTAGTGTTCCTCAGGCACCAGTACTGGGATCAGTGCTATTTAACATCCCTGTTGGTGCCATGGACAGTGGGACTGAGGCGCCCTAAGCAAGTTTGCTGATAACGCCAAGCTGAGAGATGCAGTCAGCACACTGGAAAGAACGGACACCATCCAGAAGGACCCTGACAGGCTTCAGAGGGGGGCTAACACAAACCTCATGAAGTTCAACAAGGCCAAGCACAAGGTCCTGCACCTGGGCTGGGGCAATCCCAAGCATGGATACAGACTGGATGGAGCATAGACTGACAGCAGCCCTAAGGAGGACTTAGGGGTGTTGGTTGACAAGAAGCTCAACATGACTCAGCAGTGTGTGCTCACAGCCCAGAAAGCCACCCATGTCCTGGGCTCTATTAAATGGAGTGTGGTTGAGGGAGGCAATTCTTCCCCTTCATCCACTCTCACTGAGGCCTCACCTGCAGTATTGCATCCATCTCTGGGGCCCACAACTAAGAAGGATGCGGACCTGCTTGAACAAGTCCAGAGGAGGGCCACAAATACGACCCGAGGGCTGGAGCACCTCTTTTACAAAGACAGGCTGAGAGAGCTGGGGTTGTTCAGCCTGGGAAAGAGAAGGCTCCAGAGAGACCTTAGAGCAGCTTTTCAGTTCCTAAACAAGGCCTGCAACAAATCTGGAGAGAGGCTTTTTACAAGGGCATGTAGAGATAGGTCAAAGGGGAATGGCTTTAAGTTGAAAGAGGGTAGATTTGAATTAGATACAAGGATCAAGCTTTTCACCATGAGGATGGTGAAGCACTGGCACAAGCTGCCCAGAGAAGCTGTGGCTGCTCCATCCCTGACAGCATTCAAGGTCAGGTTAGACGGGGCTTTGAGCAACCTGTTCTAGTGAAAGGTGTCCCCTGCCTGTGGCAGGGGGGTTGGAACTGGATGATCTCAAGGTCCCTTCCAACCCAAACCATTCTATGATTTTATGAAATTACAGAATTTTAAAGAAAGCAACACTCTTATGCAATTTCTTCTATTTGTAAGAAAACCAACATCAATTTGCAAACAAAATTAAGAGGAAAACTGGAGAGATCAGCTGAACACACATACTAGGTAAATCAAAGGTTAAAGTTGGTGAAACTTGTGAATCTAAATGATCCTTTGAAATTGTAATTGATACTCTCCCCCTCAGGATTCTTAAAATAGCATTCCAGATGAAAAGACTTCTTTACACCTCAAGGCAAAAATGCCCTGATCTATACAAAACATTTTGCCCAGATTCCATACTGTCACAAGCACTAGCATTCTCCTCCTAAAAAGACCCCAAAACAGTAGTGCTTCAAGTACACGGCCAACGGTCACCCAGCTCATACGCTAATCCAAAACCGGGTATTTCTAAAGGAGAGATTAAACAGTGCCGTTGTACATCTCACCTGGTTTTAGCCCACAGAGTTACCGTTTCCTTCCTTCCACTACCGTAAGAAGCCTTTATCCATCCCACAGTTTCCCATTCCTTTAGCTCAGTTTAAAAATACCAAGTCTCTTCATCTTTCTCAGGGAATGCCATGTCAGTGCTCCTGTACTGGCAGATCCCCTTTGAACCTGCAGTTTCTAATCATATGGCCAAATCCCATTCAAGTATTTCAAACCTCCCACATTTTCTCTCTTAAACAGAATGGCTCTTTCAAGTGGTGCTTGGCAGTCACCTGTACAGCTGAAATACTGGCTTTGTGTGAGCACCTGTACCACCCTTTCTTAAAGGCCTCCCCCATCACCGAGCTGCACACAACAGCTATCACTTACATGAAGTAATGCAGGGCTGTAATGAGAAAAGGTTCGGCTTGCTAAGGATTCACAACTGTCAATGGACAGAAATTCCAATTTAAAGAACAACTAATTTTATTTAAAGTGTTATCAGGAGCCTAGATAGTTATTTAAAGAAAAAGAGCTGGACTTCAGCAGTCAAGGAATAATATAAAATTTTCCCTATGTTCTAACAGGGAACAGCTTATTCTATTAGAACCACAAGATACTCTTCCAAGATTTATCCCCTAAGACTACCTACCAAAAATAAAAATCATTGAATAATCATGGGACACCATTTAAACAAACAACTTTTCAGGAAAATGGGGCAAACCATTCTAGTGAAAGTTTCATGAACTACTGGGATAAGCTGTCAGAAAATAACCAACATAGCTACAACTGATAAAGTTACCACCACACTACAGTTCTCTACTGATTGCTGGCTATCCCCACTAACAGCATCAGAGGATGATCAAACCACAAGCCATGCTCCAGGTTACAAGCAGCCAGTCACATGAGGACTTGAGCAGAAAAACAGTATGATGCCATTAGATTAACTTGTCTCAAAACAAGAACCTTTTTACACTGACTACCCAATCATTCAAAACAAAAATGTACACAAATCTTAGAATGACTTTAGGTTGTTCAGTCGCCTGAGAGTATGAATGTGGAATAAAATACTACCAAAACACTCAAAGGAAGTTGATGCCTTCAGTGTGAAGTAAAACAGGTGAAATGCTGGTCTGTCAAATTTCACGCACTCCTTATAAAACCCCTCATTTCACAGTTTAAGCACTACTGAAATGGTCTAACATATGAAGGCATAAAATGCATCTACAACCACACAGTGGTCCTGTATTTAATGATCTTGTCTTAAGTGCATTAACTACTAATTTGCTCATATCAAAATGAGAAGGCATGCTGTAAGGACAGTATTCTAAGCACTGAAATTCAAAATCCTAAATTATCTCTTACCACAACCTCTTCTATTTGCTCACTCTTAATGCTTGGCAACATGGTTTTCAAATATATACACAAAAATGGAAAGGATGATAACTGGGCCAAATCATCCTCACAAACATCCTGAGTTTTTTCACAAACTTGTGCATATTCTTTTAAGTCAACGTGGCAATAGGTATACCCATTGAAGCTGCAGAACACTTGACTTTCAAGTAAGCCTGGGTTCTCCTTTCCTATTAGACACCAATACCTTTCCTACATCTCAGCCTTATTTCTGTGATCATAAAGACCAAAATTAATCCCTGTTGCAGTCTGACAAAGTGATATGAGGACAGCCCACAAGTTTAAAAGCGTACCCCATGTTTCAGAAATCTCTTCAAAACACTATAGGTATTACATACATATACACATCCATACGCAAAGGTACCACCAGATCCCAGAACATCACTTGCCATTAGACAGCTTACCTCCACAAACAACATTTAACGTTTTGGACGCTATAAACTAGCAGCAAAGTAAATCTTATCTTCTTGAACTAGACCATCTCTTCCTGGTTCATCCACAGGACCAGACAGTGAGGGCCACTAAGCAGTCTTGTGTCACCTCATTCTCACAGCAGTGGCCACACAGGGGCCTGGGGCTAAACTGAGTATCCGTTCTGCTAATGGGTTTTTCCAAGTATTGGCTATTTGCAGAGGACTCAAGATTCTATTTGGGGTTTATTAATGGTCCTTATTCTAAAGTATCATACCACCAGTGTCACATCAAATCTAATTCATTTATTCTAGTCCTTTCTCCTCCAGCAAATATCTTCTTTGCAAACCTCTCTTTCAGTTGCTTTATTCTTATTTCTAGGAACCCAGTCTGAGATACATCAAGGTTCCTTTGGCAATTTCAATTCCTTTCCACTGTTCAATTTCTTCACCCCAGTTAATCCCTGGTTTCCCAGTACTCATTTGCCATGCCATACCTTCCCTGAATTCCCTGCTACATTGGTACTGAGGTTTTGCTTATAAGCATTCATTATGTGTCATATTATATCTTTCTCCTAGCTATCTGGGTTGCTGCATCAGAAAGCACTGAAAATGAAAGTTTTCCTAAACTAAAGACAAGTACCTATCTTTGTGACAAGAAAAGCTAAAAGCAGCAATAAAGAGTAATACAAAAATACACATTCAACACAAGGTAGAGTCTTCCAGAAGTTACCGGTTAGTACCTAACAATTCTCCCATGACACTGTCTCAAAAACTTAGCAACCCCATTCAATCAGGTTACTTTACAGATTTAACAGAAGGCTCTCATAAACGTCTGTCACCTCTCCAGTACCCCAGGAGACTTTGCTTCAAATCACAGACATGCAATAGGTTCATGTATAAATAATTATGAACTTCTGACACAAGCACAGTATTTTCCTTCTACCCTATCTTCAGACAGAGGCAAGGGTTTGTGGAAGCCATCACAGTCAGTCTTTGCAATTGCAGCAGAGAGCAGTGGACAACTTTCAGAAGGGCTGAGAACTGTCACCAACAAAACGATGGGAGTATACTCAGTGAACCATAGCGGAAAGGCAGCCCCAAGTTTCTGTATTCTAAAATGCAGACTGAGTCAGACAAAAAATAAGGAAATTATGAAATAATCACCAGTAAGACAAAGCATGTTAGAAGTATTTTCAAAACTTTCAGAAAGATACCAAAACCCACCTCTCCTCTCCAATCCACCCATATCTCCTCTCCAAAGCTTTACTGGACTACACTAGTCCTAACAGCAAAAAACAACTCTTTGCCTAGAACAGATATAAACAAATCAAACTGCCAAATGCTTTGATGTAATCCTAAACAACACTGCCCCGCACCCCCAGTCCCACCTTTACTTCTAAATGGCCTTTAACAGAAGAAAACAAAACTACTACCACCAAAACCAACCAAATATCCAACCAAACATTAAACAAGCACTTCACTCCTCGTATAATTCTCTGCAAAATTTGTACTAGAGATTGGAGTAACACAAATTTACTTTAGCTCAGAGCGGTTGTCTTGTAAAGACAATTGTAGTTCTCTCTGTTTTCAAGGAAATAGTAAAATTTAAGTATCCTTGGAATTCAGAATGTATTTTGTTCATGACTCATCTTATGGTCCAGGCCTCAAGCAGCTAAATGTCTTATTGCCCTGCCTCCACCAACATCCCCTCCAGAAGAACTTACATAAACACAGTTAAGCTCACATTTCACAATACTGTCAATACTCATTTCCCACAAGTTTTATGGTATAATTATCAAACTCTTACAGAAGACTGCACTTAACATCCCCAGTGTTGTTCTAGAAACTATGTAATTTTTCTGTTTGAGTAACCAAATATGTTCTACTTCTTGTAATGCTTCCATATAAGAACCATTTTTTGGATTTAATATTCATGGAGCCTTACATAAGCACTAGGGCATTAAAGTAAAAATCAGTACAGTAAATTTGCTAAGTGTTTGTGAAACTGGTTTACATGACACACAACCTCTGTACAGCCCCAATGGGCCTGCATTACCACTCCAAAGCAAACCAAGAAATTTAACTGCTCAATAGCTCCAGCTCCAAAGCCCACTATAGCACATGTTGTGCTGTTCCTCAAGGGATTTCTGCATTTTCCAGTTAACATTACGTCCAAACATACACACAGGATAAAAACGGCATCCTTCAAAAATAGGAAGTTTAAGATTAGGGGGGGCCAACATCAGCCAGAAAGAAGCATTCCACAAGGAAGTCTTTTTGGTACTTAGGAAAAATTGCCTCAGCTTTCCAGAAAGGAAAGTTACTGTTTCTCAAGCACTGGCTTGCAAGCACTACTCCTCTTTTCTTTGCCTTCACTGTCAAAAACCAAACAACTACACAGAATTTCTCCACATCAGTACAAAAGAATTTCATAAAGCGCTTCTTACACTGAATAGAAAAGGAACAACCTGCCATGTTTTACCATGTTGGTCTTATGAGGGAGGTTTCAAATTAACAAACATCTCAAAGTACGGTTAATAGTTACTGTAAATTCACATCATTTTGACCAAATATATCAGTGTTCATTAATGTATAAAGCAACATGCAAAGGAATATCTTCAATCTTTCCTTTCCCAAATCCACTGACAAGACAACGTTGAATAAAACTTGCCATAGCAGCACTTTCAGTTAATATAAGGCAAGGTTTATAGGGAGAGAGAATATCTTACAAGACATAGCTGGAACAAACAGACAAGCTCTTCAATTCTGTCTTCAGCTCTGAAACAGAAGCAGCAAATTCCAACCCAAGCTCAGGCCAGGAACAATTTTTTTGAGCTTAGCTTGATTAAATTGTCAAAGTGCTTAATTTTAAAGAGAAAAGGATGGTTGGTCCTGTGGAGCAAAAGGGGAGGTAAGCAAGAGGAGATAAAGTTACCTATCTACAGGTGGTAATCACCCCTCCCCCAAAAACCTTAAGATACCTGGACTGAATTATATGGAAAACTAAAGTTCCATAAAAAACCCAACACACAAACAAAATAAAATAAAAACAACCCAAACCACAACCAAACAGCAATTACTGAGTCTGATTTCTGATATTCAAAAGAAATCCAAATTTCTCCTAGGTACCTCCATGTAGGGTGTTTCTTACAGCTCCTCTTAGAATCACCACTACTATCAACTACAATTCAGCAAGTTAAGGTACTGCCAAATGAAAAATATAAGTGTAAAACTGCAGAAGCTCTTATCTCTTTTAATGTATAGATTAATTCAGGTCTAGCTCGCTCACATGCCACATGTACATCTTCAACATTATCTGAAGCAAACTGTATTAAAGTTTTCAGTGTTAAAGCTCAATGAAATCTGTACTGCCCATACGCTAAATGGTTTTCAGTAGATACTTAAGCCCAGGAACATAAGCTATGCAGACTGAGAAAAGCTTACGTTGATGTTTTCTAATTGCAGTAGATGTACTGTGTAATACGATTTGACGTCTTCAGATACTAGCCTCACACGGAAACCCGTCTCACTGAATATCATAACTTCTTCTTCTTTTGTCGGCCAGTATTGTTCACACTTCACCTAAGTGAGGTTTTTTCAGAACGAGAAAAAAAAATAAAAAAGAAATCCTGGTTAAGTATCCTGATATTGGCCTTTGCATGAGCAGATTCAGACCACATTAATCAGTACAGCAGACTTAAGTATCTGCTCCCAGTTTGAGGAATTCTCCAAGTCCATAATGTTCACAGTGAAGTTACTACAACTCTTTCAATGACTATTACGCATTCTAGATTTATCTGTTTGTGCTTTCTTTCATCACAGAGTTAACATGTTAAGATATACCTTAACCCTTTTCCCTCCCCTCCCCCTTAATTCTATACAGAGAACAGATCTTTACTCAGCTATTGCAACATCCCCTTCCATTTCTGATGTGCACACCTGCAGATTTACATAACTGATGTAACACATCCATCCAGTTTTCCCAAGGCTTGCTCAGTACTGGAAGATGCTTGTGAAACAAAAGAAAGAACTAACAAAGTAATGCAAGACTGTCCCTTGCCCTTTACTCCTCTTGCCCTGCACTCAAACTTCCTGTAGGGTAATTTTTGCATGAGAAAATAAGCAAGTTTTTAATAGACTCAAAATCTTTTTTACTAACAAACCTACTCTGAAGAAGAACCATAAATATCAAGTGACATTCGTTCATAACTAAAATCCATAGTGGGTTTAGGCACATTAGTAGAAAAACTACATCATAACAGAAGGTTTGTGTATTTGCACATATACCACCAGCTTTAAGTAACTAGATCAGTTTGACAGTTGCTGGGCAGCAGCTTGAATTCATAGTTACAAACAGTTAAGATCACTGCCGGATAAATATACAACTCTGACAGATTTAGAAAAAACAATCTAAAAATACTTAATTCAAGCTTGTTCTCCCATCTTCTGTTTTGCTCTAGAGCATCTTACACTGCTTCTACTCCACCTTGTTTCAAACTGTACATCCTCCTTTCACCTTTCTGAATGCATATTTACTAGATGCTGCTTTTGCCAGACTGAATTTTGTGTCTCAGCTATAAAGCTTCACTTTAATGTAATATTAAACACACGTCATGTTGTACACTGGTGAGAAAGTTCGACTGCTCTTAGCGTAACGATCGCTGCTTAACTGTACTAAAATTACGTAGATTACTCTGCAACTTTAGATCTAATATTACTTACCGACTCCTTTTCAACAATTCTGTTCAGCATAACAACTGCTTTGGTTTGTTGCTGCCATACCATTAACCAAAAATGGCAACATGTATTAGGTAGTGGACCCTGTGTAGTTAAGAAAAAAAAATAATAAAATAAATCAACGGGTGTAAGAATGTATAAGTAAGCAGTGTTTGAATACAGTTAAATAGTTCACTGGGTCGAGAGGAAAAAGCCTTCCTCTGAAAAGTTTAAACAAATTATTAACAGAATGTCAGAAATGACAGGCAAGAAAGCAACCACACTGCACAGACCAGCCCAGTACTTAAAAAACAAAACAACCCCAAAAAAGCCAGTAAGAACTCAGGGAAGTGATGTTTCAGCCTGGGCATTAATATTCTTGTGCTCTTAGGAGAAAAGCAGACATGCTCAGAACATACAAGACGAAATAAAGAGTAAAAGTATTGTTGCAACCTATTTCCAAAAGAAGTGAAGAGCAAGAAATACTTGAAAAGCTTTATATGCAGTATATTATTCATAATTAAATATTCCCTTGAAAATTTTCTTAAAATACAAAGTAATGTGTTCACAACTAGACCAAACAGGCAGTTAATATCAAATACATGTAATTCACAGAGACAAGGAATCATCCAAATACAAATTACAACTGTACAACCCCTCTCTCCCAGATTCCCAACCTCTGTAATAACATAGTACTACCTACCTGTGTTAGAATATAGTATCTCTGAGCTTCTTCTATGACCACTAGGCTGGCATTGATATAGTCATTCTCAGCATTCTGCAGTTTTACACGACTATGATCATCTGTAATTCAAAGAAAATAAAGAATTAATGACGCATCCACCTTGATGAATACTCTCTAACAAAACAGGCAAATTTAGGTTTGACAAGCAATTGCTTGTAAACTCTTAAGTAAACTCAGAAGTAGTAACAAAATGGTAAACTACAAATATACATGAAACTAATTTCTCATGTCACTATAATAATTGCCTGTCTCATGCTCCCTCAGCCTTCCATCAGAGTAATTTCTGTTAGCTTTAATAGAAGCTGCTCAGAAAGCTTGTAACATCCAGTTTTCTGGAAAAGAAAACCCAACCAAAACAACCCTCCTATACATGCCAAAAGATGCTCACAGCAACCCTTTGACAGTTGCACTTCCTCAACACGACAGCACTACAACCCACACTGTCCTATCACACCAGGTCACTCCACTGCATGATTTCCTTTCAGTTCAGAATTCCGATTTTTTTTTTTAAGTTTCACAGATTGAGGCAGAATCATATAATTAAACTTACATGGCTTAAAAAGCCAAATAAAGCTACTTGAAATAATTCAAACCAAGCTCTGATCAATTTAATTTTCCCTGTAATTTATTGTTTAATACTATACAAATTAAGGATACTGCAGAAGGGACACATGCAAAATGTACCTTTTCAACAAATGTTTCAGTTAAAGGGACACATGCAAAATGTACCTTTTCAACAAATGTTTCAGTTAAATGAAGCCTAATCTAATTACACCATTTCAGTCTCTCATCACAATTACACAGGCAAGACAGAAAATTCCCCTATTTGTAGCAGAGGCAAACAAAGGACTCCATTTAAAATTCTAACATTAATATGAGAAAGATTATCAGACTGTTGTACTAAAACATTGCATAATAAAAAAATCACTGTGGCTGTTCCTAGAATCTTTTAGTATCTGATTTATCACCCTCTAGGAGCCACTGAGGTAATCAGACTTGCTCACAGCAAGTAATCCTTCAGCCGTTTTATTAGAATTGTACTAAATAAAATGCATTTTCAGTTTAAAATTTGTACATAACTGCATGCCAGGAAATGAGACTGTCTGCAAACCTCCCAAAGCTCAACTGCCTAGACAGACTGCTTGTGAGTAAATAAAAAATAGCAAACTCGAATTCAAGAGACTTCTACACATTTCAGAAAGTGATGGAAGAGATTCCATAAAGAACCTGACAGAGCTGTGCATGAATTACAGTGCAATGCCAGTTATTAACCTACGTTTGACTGGTCAAACTCACAAAACCCATTTGGGGTAGAAAACACAGCTGCTGTTAGAATGCCAGCACACTTTTCCAAGTATCACATTCAGTGCAGCTATGACAGCTGAGCTCAGATTGAGTCCCCATATCACAGCCAGTCTATGCAGCACGAGGCTTATCTGAGAAATCTATGAATATGACCACAGTCGGGCAAAAAGCTGATGGGAATCAAAAAATAGGTACTGAATTAGACTCTTGTTCTATGAACTGCTCAAAAGACTTTCTAAATACTTTCCGTATGTTTGGAAATCTGGGAAAAGTACACTTACTATGTCTTGATCTGCTTTTATGCTCTCCCTCATCTATCTGCTCTTGGCAACTGTCAAAAGAGGATCTTGGCTGGATTCAAGGAAAGAAGTCAACAGTAGATTATTACATATATCTTTTAAGAGCTGAGATTTGGGGTTGCTATCCTACCTCCTTTAGCTGCTAGCTTTTATATGCAGTCACAAATGTGCAGAGAACAGAAATCTGCTGAAAACCTATTTTTAATACAAAAGTATGAGAAAATTACTGGTTTAATCTGTTTTCATTAGCATTCCAACTCTAAGGCAACACCACCTTGACTTTCAGGAGCCTTAAAAAAATTTACGATACCTCTGTATGAGAAAAAAAATATTATCAAAGCCAAGACACAATAAAATTTAGACCCATGTGCATTTTAAAGTAAAGTCTCGTATTATTTTGTCTGGATAGGAAAGTGCTACTTTTTCTTTTCATGTATCACTTTATCTGAAATGTTTGTACTGGAGAGAAATCAAGTCCTTTGTAAATATTACATGTCATTTGCCAACAGGAAAAACTTAAGATCTTGTTATAGTAAATCACACATACCGGTACTCCTGTTCTCGGAAAGATGACGTGAGCAAAGCACTGTTAACAGTTTCATCACCCAGCAGCAGCTGCTGTACTGCTGCCAGTAGGAGATAACTGCCCTGGCCACAGTGAAGCTTCCTGCTATAATCCTTACACTAATTTGCAGCCTCATATTTTCCTTGTTATAAATTCCATTTATTTTTCATGTTTACAAAGCATTCTTTGTAAACATTCTTTGTAATTCACTACAAAGCTTTTTTAAAGCACTTTTAACAACTAATTCTAAGCACGGACAGCCTCCCTTCTCACCCCAATTGAAACTGCTACAAACACACTGGCATACACTCCACAGGACAAAGACAGCCACTAGAATATATTGACTTCTCTTCTTTCAAGGGAAAAGGTTCCTAAGGGACACAATGACCTAGAAACCTCATTCAAGCCTTGGCTTGCTCTTCTGAATTAGATGAAGCAAGCCAACTTTTGACAGCAAGTTAGCTGTAACGTATTTCCCGTATGTGAAACATTTCCAGTTACAAAGTACTTCAGATTTATGTGAATGATAAACCCGTCTTAAACCCTCCTATCTTAAAGATTTATCTTAAATGTTGCCATGCCCACAACAACTAAAATATTATCAGGCAATACTCATTTTCTGAAGTGCTAATTCCTCTATTTCAACAAACTGCAGCCTGAAAAGGAAATGGAAACCCTAAAAATGTTTCTCATTCTGGCTTCTACACTAAGAAAACTACTCCCAGAATGACCCTGTCCAATAAGCAAAGTCTTATCACCCACTTCAAATGAAACCCTGTCCCACTGATACCATTGACAACACTCCCCATGTCTCAAACAAGCCCAAGACTTCACACTACACATCAATTTACCCACTCTCTGCTAAAAAGAAAATGACATATCCAGTTAAACTGAGATATGAAATGTATGGCATTTTACATCATACAGTTCTTGCAGTTGGTTAATGACAGGTTAATGTTTGAAAACAACTGTGTTTCTAGAACTGAGACCACTGTGTAACTTAAAATTATCTTTTCTCCAAGAGATGTCTGTGGCTCCCTAAATACAAAGCTATTAACAACAAAAAGGGTGAAATGTTACTTAGTGGATTAAAGAAAGTCATAAATAAAACATGTAGCCATAAGCCATCCCAGTGACCCAGTCTGACCCTTTCCTGCCTACCAGCAAATCCCCTTCATTTCACTGATCTAAATCTAAATCTAGTCTGAGCTGCTAAATTATTCAAATTACAATATTCTGTCATCAGATGTGCAGTCTCAAGTTTCAGAGGTAGCCTACGGCAAAGGAAAGGCAATGTGACTTTCCCCCACCCTGCCACTGCTTGTACGCAACGAATGCCATCATATCGATCTCAGCATGGTTTGGGTTGGAAGGGATCTTACAAGATCATCTAGTTCCAAACCACAGGCAGGGACACCTTCCACTACACCAGGTTGCTCAAAGACCTGCAACACTGCCAGGGACAGAGCATGACCTCACTCATAACTAGAACATATGCATAAATACTGCACTTTCCTTACACTTTCAAGCAGAACTGTAAAAAAAATCCCTAAGATACAGTAAAGTTCACATCAGTGATCCAGCCCTGAAGAAAGAAGTACCACCAAAAGCATCATGTTGAGTTTATTCATACCATGTTTCTGGTAACAAGATATTTCAGAGAATCATTAGGTAACATCATAAAAATCATTAATGTCAGCTTCTAAGACAAACAACGAGAAGTGCAGTAGGCTTATACTGAACAGAACAACTCTCTGTTCTCAGTACATAAACAGGACAAATGCAGGACAGAAAGGGAACATTCTGGCAATGACAATTAATCAGCACTATGTGCAAAATCCATCCACTCCCAGCTCTGCTCCCTATAAAGCACCATACTCTTCATGTTCCTCTCTCCCTGGCATATACTCTGTCACAACTGTAAACGGGTGGTCAAAAGGTTCAACTCAAAGTTTACTAATGGCCAAAGGAAGAAAGCAAGAGCAATCACTACTTCTCAAGATCCTCCAACAGCCATGTGATCTATGAGGTGAAAACGTCCAGATGATCTAACATACTGGGCTACATACCACACGACAAAGGAAAGCTGAAGATAAAAACTAGGTAGGTGCGTAAACCCCCACCTGCCTTCCAGAAGCAAAAGGTAAAAGAAATAATAAATCCTGCTAATTTTGCCAAGGGGATTTCCTTTTTGCCTCTAAATCCGAGAGCACAGTAAGCAGACCTCTAAAGGTGTTTACAGTCAACCTGAGACACCAGACACCTCTGATATCACCTAAGGATAAGATTTAGAAGGAAAGTAGTAGCAGAAATCTTAGAGTTTCATTAAAGTTATCACTGAAGAAGAATAATCTTGTGAGTTATTTTCCTCTCTTAACAATGTTTTCTGAGAAATGGTCTCATCTGTCAGGAAATGACTGGCTGTCAAACCAAACCTATTTCAGATTAACTTCCTGTTTCAGTAGTACTACGTAGCCAAAATATTCTGCTCCCTATTCTAGACTAATAGCAAACTGCTAGACTCTTATTATTTTTGGCTAGGCAGTAACTCTTGAGGGCTTTTACCCAACCAAACTTATACAGACCATAACTCTTTAACCAACAAAACTGGACACTAAGAAAAATATTTATGCAACTCGAGACAATGTGAAACTCAACTGCAGTGGGCAAAGATGATGAGCCTTCCTCTGCCAACAGAAACCAACTTTTATCTAGAAATGCATGTAACGGACATGAATTGGTATCAGTATACCTGTCCTGTGTATTATGGTTGAAATGGGGCAAATTAGCCCAGTGCATTTTTCCTTGCACTTGTAATTGACATCTACCAATAGGAGAGAATAATCTCTGTAATTCCTCTTGCAGACATACCACCTCAGATTTTACACTGGCTTGGCTGTTATCTAGATTAACGAACCACTTTTTCACCGCTATGGAGAAACAAAACATTTTCATTCAATTATATCTTACATTTTACAATATGTTCAAGTAGCTAGATTTTAAAAGCTTAACTGCTAGTTCTGAGGGCCTTTGACTCTCAGAGAATATTATCGGTATCAACACCCATTTTTCTTTTAAACACTGTTAGAGAGCAGTGAAATTCACAAAGTGAAGGACCAAGATGTTAAGATTGTTCAAGATTGAGCTGTCTCGCATTTCTGCAACACAATTCCTTGTGTACCACCCACAATTAGATGTGTTCACCAAGTGACCAAACTGCACGGCTTTTACCCCAGCTGCTCTGAAACTGAACTACTGCTGTCTTGCAATGTTATTTATCATGTATTCCCTCTCAGATGTATTTTTCTTCCCAACTCTCACCATTTTTACAGAAAAAATTATGAGTCATATTTGAAAATACACAGATGTAAAATTAAATAGGAATTAGTTTGAACACAGTATTTTGCTCTGTCCTCCTTGTACAGCCTTGCTCCTAGTACCCAGCTCTGCAGACCATCTTGGTGCCCAAGTCAAACCTTCTCTTATAAATGCTAAAAAACAGAGATGTGCTTTGCATAGTTCACCACCTTAGTTCAGTCATCGTGTTATACTCCATGTCAACCAACATGTAATGACAGTAACCCTTTCCTGAGCCCAACTCCTACTTCAAAGCTAGATTTTATCTAAGTGCCTCTCTGCTCTTGCATAGGGTCCAGGGATTAATACAACCACATAATTAATTTCCTCCTGGCTCAACAAGCATTTCAGAAGCAGGCTTTGTCATGGCCCAGGCAGAGCTATTTGGTGCTCTTCACTATTGTAGAAGGCATGCTATGCCATGATTAAAGAGAATTCTGAGCTCCAAAAAACTACAGGAGATGAATACAAGTCACACCTCTTCCTGCAGGCATCATGAGATGCTACTTAAATAACACAACAACATTTATTTTAGAAATACTCTATTTTAAAAAAAACAAACAACAAAAACACAAGCACATTAAAGGTAAACTGCCATTCTCTTTCCAGTAGTGCCTAAGAAATTAAATCCATGGATGGGAGAAACAGTAAATGCATGAATACAGATTCTGCCACAGAAGCTGTATAGAACACTGGACCCAGGAATAGAACTTGGGTCTCATGGGTTCAAATCCAATTTCTCTTCTTATAACTCCCATCCCAATTTAGGTATGAAACAGAAAGTAATTACAACATAATCTACTCTACCACCGGTAAGATGCTAATGCTGTGCTGCAACAGGATAGCAAACCTGGGACATATAAGTATCTCTGCATAGACCAACAAAGGCCCAGCAGAACCCTATCTCCCTGTACTGAGCATACAAGCATAACTTATTAAGCCTTGACTAATTTGAGACATCTTCTTCAGACCTGTAAGCTTTTCAAACAAACCATACTAGGGAATGCCCTCCAGACACAGCAAAAAGGCTGTGAGTGCAGTACTGAGATTCAGCATTAAGCCAGACTAGATCCCTTTGGTGTGAATCTACAAGGCAAGTTTGCCTTCTGGCAGCAGTCTGATGAGCAGCACACAGCACTGCGTCTGACCAGTGTGACTCAACACAAGACCCTGTTCGTGGCATTTCGAGAAGTGCTGTGCACAGGCTGTTTTACCGCAACTTTCAACTGGAAACAAGGAGTTCAGTACTTCCCAAATCTTTCAATAGGTATTCAGATTAGGCTCTCAACCAAAAAGCCCCAGTACACCAGAAACCCTTCAAAAACTCTTGATCTGGTAACAAGAAGGCTTTTATGAGCCTTTGGTGCTCTGGGAAACTGTGCTAAAGAACACACAAACATTTACCTGTTCCAACTTCAATATTTTGTAGAAAAATTAAGGCTGTACTAGTTCCCCCCTCCAAGTCCTTTTGAACATGATTTACAATAGCTTTCTCCAACTGTAACTACATATTGGTAATCTTTTGCTTCCATGTCCTTTTATAACAATTTAGGATTCCAGTTTCTAAAGTAAATGCTGAAATGTTGAAAGAAAATCCACACTTCAGTAACAAAGAAGATGGCAAAAAAAAAAAGCTGTCTTCATCTGAGATGCAAGATCCTTATGTCACAAAGGCCATTTTACAGCAGTTAGTAAAATACGAAGTACTCCATACCAAATCTACTTGATTGAGAAAACTTAAGAACTTCAAGCACATATTCTTTTGAACAGACAAAACGAAATATCAAGTATTTTTTAAGCAACAGTAGAAATTGAGTGGCTTTTATCCACAGTCTTATAAATGTATAGAATCACTTAGCCCAAAAAGGAACTGTTAGTCAAAGCTTATTAACTTAATTTCTGTGCTCCACACATGTTGATTTTTTGACAGATAATTATTTAATATTGCCTTATGAATACCTTAAAAACATTACCTTGCAGCTCACAAACACCAATGCATATACTAATAACTATGATTTTCCATCACATTTCATTCACTATTCAGCATAATGGTTTAACCAGCACACTTTTCTCCCTCTGTTAATGTGTCACAAAAACCATATTTATCATAGGTTCCATGTCTACAAAAATAAAAAAATACAAAACCTACAATGACCACATAAAATCTACAAAGTTTACTGCAATAATTACAGAAAAGATACTTACATGGACTAACATCTCTGTATCTGTTCCGATTTTTGTTTTCTGGGTATTTTGCAACTCTGTGAGGGTAGTCACTGGATTTATGTCGAATTTCCTTTAAAACACAAGAAATGCAATTTACTTATAGCCAGTCAGCTGATTAAGATCAGTTCCTACACATGCTATTGTAAGACTTTCAAGCTTACTAATTAAGCAGGGTTATTAATAATTAACATTTTAAATCAACCTTTACTACAACTAGTGTTATTTTCACTCAGAAAACACGTGTGTCATTCTTGGCCAAGCTTTTGCCATTGGATCACACCCACATTTGGCTAACAACACCAAAGCAACATAGGCACAATCTGGTAAGCAATTGATGGAGCTGGATCAAAGGGGAAAAAGCACCCAGCTATTTATTATGCTCAGAGCTTACCTCAGACTGCACATTAACTCCCACAGCAGTAAGAGCATCAGACAGAACTAACAGCAGTGTACTGCTAGCTCCTTTACACCAACTGGCAGCATAAGTCCCCACAACAGTAAATTAACTAGTTTATTATTTTATGGCTGCTGTTAACAGCCGCAAGATGATTCTTGGTGGTTTGACAGTTCAACCCATATAGCTGTAGTTAAACATGACCCACGATGAAGGAGCAATGCTAGACTAGGTCTAAAATCAGTTTTCACACACACAATTCAGCCAGCGCAAATTAAAGAAACAAACCAGATGCCAGATGTAACATAAGGCATATTACACAAAAAAAACCTTTCATTACAAAAAAAGTGAAAATCAGTATTATTATTTCAGTCATTAATTCAGATTGGAGAGGAGCTTTGCAAGTCAGCATAAATATTCCAAGCTTCATGTGATTTTACCACAAGTCCTGGCAAATTCATGGAACCAAAGGGCAAATCTACCATCAGGAAGTATAATAAGAAAACCCTAATACCCAACTTTTTTTTCTTCAGAGAACTTCACACTTCTCAGGGCAAGCGCGTGTTTCTTACACACCACTATCACAGAAAAATACCTTCCTAAGAATTAAATAAATGCTACTTAAAAATATCATTTTCTATTTTCTCTGTGTTTTTAAACAGATCTGTACTGCCAGTTTTACTCTAATACAAATGTGCTAAGTACCCTGAGCAAAAATCCTGAATTTGCAAAATCTACAAAATCAGAAAAAACATAAAATCCTAATACAAAAAACTTTATTTAAAAATATTTTCCAGCTTATGTGTAGTAAAATTAGGATATACGTATACCAAGTTTAGAAGAGCTCTTCAGTTTAATTCTCCAAGAGCACACAAACAGTATTAAAATGCCATGGGAAAGCTGACTTGCTCAGTCTGGATATACCATAGGTGACGTGCAGGTACTTTTTTACCTCATGAAAAATGACAATTGCAGAATTCTTACCTAAAACTTCTATTTCATTAACTTAGCACAGTTTATTTCTGCTATTCCCTGTTAAATTCAAACCACAGTTCAGTTTCATAATACCTGCCTACAGATAATGTATTTGAAGCACACATAAATCAAACACATGGCTAATTTAACAGAGGAAACGCAAAACTTTTACTAACTACAAGTTATCAAAGAGAATTTTTGGTTTAGATTCTTTTCCCTCATTTGTGAAAGAGCACTGTAAAATGTCAAAAAGGCCAGGCTGGACTGGGATTTGAGCAACCTGGTCTAGAGTGAGGTGTCCCTGCCTATGGCAAGGGGTTGGAACTAGACGATCTTTTAAAGTCCCTTCCAATCCAAATCATTCCATGAAAATACATACTGGTTCAAATAACTTCTGTAGTCTTGCAAGTTTATATGTAAAGTCGATTTCATAGAACTGACCCAAACACTATTGCTGCAAGTTAGTAGTCTCGCTGTTTCTAGAGAAAAGGGCGCTTACTTCCTGACAGATAACCATGCAGGCCTGCCGCACACGCCAAACAGGCGAAGGCAGCGGTACAGACGGCTGCCGGCGCTAAGCGGGTGCCTAAGGAACCGCTGCGCAGCGGTTTCGAATGCAAAGCCGGGAACCCAGGGCACATAGCGCGCCTCGGCCGGAGGGATACCATCAGGTATAACTTTCCACCCTGCCTGGAAACTGCGGAGGACGCACCCTCACCGGGCCCAGACCACGCCACTCGGATAAACCTCACGCGCCTAAACCGCAGCTGCTCTCGGCACCCAGCGACGGGAGCCCCACCGCCCCGAGCCCGCGCTGGCGCACTGCGCTCCGGCACCCTACAGTGCCTGCGCCCTACCAGCGCTCCCCGCCCAGAGAAGCGACGGCCGCCCGCCGGCGCATGCGCAGCGCCTGCCCGCAGCTCCGCTGCGTGCACCTGAAAACCGAGCCGGGGCCCTGCAACTTCCGTTCGCCGCTGAGACGGCGCGTACCGGCAACGGCGCTGCCGACCGGCGGCCCCCTCCTGGCTTGCTGCTCGCCGGCTGGGGGCAGAGCCGGAGCGACCCCCTTTGCTCACCAGATAACGCGCCTGCCAGTCGTTAGTGGCTTCGATCTCCTGGAACTCTCGCTCGATGATGGCAAGCATGGCGGCGGCCAGCGCGCGAGCCCGTCCAGAGGCCGGCACACTCCCGACCCCTCGCGCGCTGCCCACCACACGCGAGCAGCGAGCGCGCACATACGCTCCCAACGGGCCCCGCCGCCTCCGGTGCCAGGCGCATGCGCGGCCCCGCCTCCGACCACCGAGGGCTGCAGAGACCGCGCCCCCGGGGAGGAGGTGGGCAAGCACCTGGTGTGATGTCATGGGGCGGGGGGCGAGGAGGAGGGGCCGGGGCTGCCTTCAGGTAACCGGAGGTTGGGGGTGTCGGTCTGGTTGGACCCCCCCCCCCACCAAAACACCAACACACCCCCCCCCACCCAAAACCAAACACAACCAAACACCCACCACACCCCCCCCACCCACCACACCCAAACCCACCCCCCCACACCAAAAAAACAAAAACCCACACCAACCACAAACCACACCACACCAAAACAAAACTGTTCAGCCTGGAAAACAGAAGGCTCCGGGGAGAAATCTTAAAGCAGCTTGCAGTACCTAAAGGGGGCCTGCAAGAAATCTGGAGAGGGACTTTTTACAAGGGCATCTAGTGACAGGACAAAGGGAATTGGACTTAAGCTCAAAGAGGGTAGATTTAGATTAGATATCAGGAAGTTCTTCCCTGTGAGGGTGGTGAGGCATTGGCACAGGGTGCCCAGAGAAGCTGTGGCTGCCCTATCCCTGGCAATGTGCAAGGCCAGGTTGGACGAGGCTTTGAGCAACCTGCTGTAGTGGAAGGTGTCCCTGCCCGTGGCAGGAGGGTTGGAACTGGATAATCCTTAAGGCCCCTTCTGACTGAAACCAATTCTATGATTCTATGAAATAGAGGAGTGTCAGACAAATCACAGCAAGGTTTGTCATCTCAGAAGCAGAAATGCAGAAGGCAATAGCCCACCGCAGTTGCTTAAAAAAGTGCCGCAGGAAACAGCTTCAAAAACATTTAGCAAAAGTAAAGGTCACACAGCAGTTAGCAAGGGCCACACTGCTCAAGCTGCAGGAAAATCTGCTGTACAGTTCCGGGTAATGGAGGGGTGCCTGTAGTCCTTCAGGTAAGCAAGCTAGGGTGCTTCATAGCTCACCACCGATCCCTGGTTAGCTTGCGGTGACTTAAAAATGTGTGGTGTTAACTAGGACCGCGAAGGGGCAGAGGTTAAAGCGCCAGGCTCTCTCCTCACACCCGTCTGGCAGCCCTGCCTCTGGCACAGGCGCCACCTCTCCGCAGCTTAGCTCCCTGCCCCGGACCTCACTCAGGGCTCTCCCCCGCCCCTAACAAGCTCCCTCACGAACTGGGAAGTTTCACCGAGAGCCCGCTTATCCACTCCCCTCAGCAACTGCCACCGCCGGTCGGACTCGCCCCTCTCCAGCTCTTTAGAGGTTGGCTCCGCCCTCACTGCTGCCCCCCGGGAGGTTAGCCCCCCACGCCCTGCCTGTAGTACCCGCCGTGGTTGGGCCACGCCGATCCCCTCTTAGCCCCAGGCCTCCTCAGAGGGCCCTGCAAGTGGGCTCGTACACACGCGCAGATGCTGAGCGTGGCACCTGAAGGCCCCGTGGTAATCTGCGCACCGCTCCCCTGGCCGTGCCGTCCTGCTGGCTGTCACCGAAGTCCCGAACTGCAGCTGACGCTGTGGTGCAGGCTGGGCAGCGGGTGATGTTTGGGAACAACTGCAGACGCGTGACATAAGGAAGAAAGGGTGTAATTCCATCGGTAAACTGCCGATAAGGTAGCATGCCAGCCACCACGAAAGCAGCACAGTGCAAAGGCCACAGTAGCAAAGGGCAGCTGGGGATGGTGCCTGGCAAGAGCCTTCCCCCACATCACACCTAAAGGCCAAAAGTTGTGTGCTGGAGAAACCTGGCTTCAGTGCTGGATGAGTTGAGTTTACACTCCCCTCTGCTGTGGAGGTTCACAGCTAGAAAACAGCAACAAGGGTCACTCAGCAAGACACAGGCAAAGCTGTGGCTGCCCCAGCCCTGGCAATGTTCAAAGCCAGGTTGGATGGGTCTTTGAGCAACTTGGTGTCCCTACCCATGGCAGGGGGACTGAAACTAGGTGATCTTGAAGTGTGAGAAGATGTGCTTGAGTTCAAGGTCTGTCAGCTCAGGAGCACCCTGTGTGTAGTGGCTGAGTGACCACTGAGACAGTGTTTTGAGAAGGATGCAGAAGCAGCAGTAGTTTTGATATATGAGCACAAGAACATTTCTTATGCCCTTGTTAGCAGTGTCACCAGGGGATGTAGTTCATATGGAAAAAGCAACGTAATGGTATTTAGGAGAGGGAGTAACAATGTTTAGAATATGTAAAGCAAATCAGTGTCTAGAGACAGAGACAGCTCGTGGAAAACTACAAGAAGTGTTTATTAACTGTGATCTACAGCTGGCTTAGACGAGCAGTTAACTGGTAAACCAGGGAGTTTCTGGAGAAATTGACATTGTTTGCTTTTTGATTGTTATTTTTACTGCAAATATGCTGAAAATGTACCAGTTCTATGTTTTTTGGGAACTGAGCCCAGAATAGGCCCAGGACTACAGTTATAATGGTCTATGGAGAAGAACTGTATATACAACATCAACCAAGTACATTCATTAGAAAACTTTGTTCTATAGCTAATAATATATTCCAGTTCTGTATTAGCTGTTCAGCTGAACCCACATGAACTGCTACATAAACTCTCAAACCCTTGAGATAGCGTGAGACATATGCAAAACAGGATAATGGAGTTGCTGGAATGTGTGGTATATTATTTCCATCTTAGTATAAACACAAACAAGTAGCTATTGCTATATTTCCTTATTAAAATGTCTGATAACTTGAGAAGCCCCTTGCTGTGCTGACTACAGTCACCCGTGGGTAGCTGGTATCCTCATCAGTTCTGGTTTGGTGCTCTTGCTCATTTGAATGAAAAAGAGCAATCAAGTTAACTTTAAATAGGTTTTGCACAGTGACCCTGGCCAAACAATTAACTTTAGTACCAGTCTGGAATGGACTAAGTGCTTGTTCCTTAGTATGTACTTTTTTTTGGGGTCATTCACTGGAATTACTTAAGTATCATTTATTGGAAATGATCTATTTTGTGCTGCTTTTCTGAGAACCATTTTGGATATTGGTAGAGGAAGAACAAATTCTTCCCTGAGGTGGTTTTATTCACAAATACACTCCCTATCAATCTTAGCTGTTAAGGAAGAGAGCTGTAATGTGCTTAAATTTGCCACGATGTGAAAGGATAAGAACATTTAAGTCTTACAGCCCAAGGCATAAAGTAGAAGATGCTCTCTTCCTGCACGATTTGGATATGTCTGGAAACCCTGAAGGGCTGGCCACTCCTCTGGCATCTGGTGGAGAGCAAGATAAGCTGAATGAAAAGGTCCAACAGTCAGGACAAAACAGGTTTCATTCTGTGCATTTACAGTGAAGTCTTCCTATTTCAGACTTTTGGGGACTGTATTCTTTGTTCAAGTGAACATTAAAAATTCGTACTACTGGGAGTAGGTGTCAGTACAAATACCTGTCCTCAGCTATATTGCTGACTTCCTCCCCCTACCTAAAACTGTATTTTGGCATACAAGAAAAGAAGAGAAAACTGCAAAATGTGTATAGCAAATTGCAAATTCTTGTATCAGCAACAACAGCAGAAACACAAGGAGCCTTAACAGGTTTGCATTCAGCTAAGGAAGTATGTCACATTAATCACAGATCCACAACAGTGGGATTCTAGTGCCAGTGTCTCTTTAAAAGTGGCTATGTAGTAAAAGTGACGAAATTATGGAAGTTGTGATTAGGCTTTGAAAAGAAGGACAGCACACCTAAGCACAAACTAAATGATTGGCCAAACTGCAGTTTGGAGTGCTGGGTTGAAGAAATTCACAGCTAAAGAAGGAAGGAAAGATTAAGGCCTATTAAGGAAGTCTGGTTTATAGTCCAGAGATCTGTGCCAGTGTGTATGGCACTGGGCTCCTATGGTGAAGCTGAAATAAATGTGGAGTGTGAAAAGAAAGCAGCAACTGGCAGAAATGCTGTCACGAGTGAGTGGACGCTAGCTAGCAGAAAAGGCAGCCAGCCAGGATGTCTGGTGGGTACAACAACTTCAGGCTCTGCTGCGGCTTTGTGAAGCAGCCATTCCAGCAACCTAGGCTGGGGTGTCCAGCCAGCCACAAAACCTAATGCCTGTGAGTCAGTGCAGGGGGTGTGGGGTACAGTGACAGGAAGAGAAGAGCCAGTTGCCAAGAGAAAGATGACTCCAAGTTATTGTTTTTATTGCGTGTAGAGAGGATTTGCTTGTTGGGGTGGTTTGTATACGTTACCTGTTTTTCCATCTATTTTTTCTTTTCACCCCTACCTACAGTGACATTTATTAAAATCACAGTTTGTAAGTGAGAAAGTCTAATTCAGTAGGTGTCAGAAGTGGCCCAATGTCATCCCATGTCCCTGGTTAGAAGGTCATTTTTCATTAGAAACTGTATCTGTAGAAACTACCTGTAGCTAATACAAGGTTTTCACATTGAAAGTTTACTGAGACTTGCATTTGTTTGAAGATGACCAGTTATTAGGATTCACAGGCTAAGAAAGCTGGGGCTGTTCAGCCTGGAGAAGAGAAGGATGCATGGAGACCTCATAGCAGCCTTCCAGTATCTGAAGGGGGACTATAGGGGTGATGGGGAGGGACTCTTCATTAGGGACTGTAGCAACAGGGCAAGGGGTAATGGGTTTAAAGTTAAACAGGGGAAGTTCAGGTTAGATATAATGAGGAAGTTCTTTACTGTGAGGGTGGTGAGGCACTGAAACAGGTTGTCCAGAGAAGCGATAAATGCTCCATCCCTGGCAGTGTTTAAAGCCAGGTTGGGCAGAGCCTTGGGCAACATGGTCTAGTGTGAGGTGTCCCTGCCCATGGCAGGGATTTGGAACTGGATGTTCTTAAGGTCCTTTCCAATCTTAACTATCCTATGATTTTATGAAAATGGTTTTCCTCACAGACTGAATAGGGCTGGTCCATGTTTAGACCACTTGTAATCTCACAGTTACTGTTTCAAAGCATCATCTCACATTGCTGTATAATGGTCAGAAAGGTTAGAAAGCTGCAGTTCTGGAAACAGCTTTATGTTGCCCAGAAAGTCTTTCATTCACATTCTCTCATAATTTTGAAATCATGTTATCA